GAGAAGGATGACTGATAATGAAGGAATTTTAAGAAAAATGGATAAAAATTTAATCTCTGACCTTTGATACAATTGTAAATACCAAACTGATTTTTCCCTAGAGAAAAATCTTCCCTTCAGAACTCCTTTTCTTTTCTAAATCAGTTAGAAATATATTTTTAAATGAAATTAAAGTTTAACATTTACCATAGAAACTGTCTCCAAGTTATAAATTGAATTCCAACTGATTAGAAATGAACTACATATTTTGTCATTATATTTGTGATACAGATAATCAAATTATAGTATATGATGGAGATCAGAGATCAGAGAGTTTATTACATGTTATGTAAAAGTTCAGCATTTAGTACCAATATGCAAATAAGCAAAGCAAAAAGAAATTCTTATGTTTGAATATTGAAAAATAAGCCAAAACATTGGGCGAGCAGATAGGATGTATTTAAATTTTCTCTGAGGGAAACTAATACATAGCATCTCTTTTGGCTGCTCTTATTCTAAACATGTTAAGCTATAAAGCAAGGGAGTGAGAGAGAACCTTACTACTGTGGGAGACTGGGGTGGATGATGTGAACCTAGGTCTGTTAGACAAGTGGGTCTATTGAAGAACCCCATAATTAGTCAGGATCTTCCCACCTGGGCATAGGATGCTGAGGGGCAGGCTCCTATCCCTGGAGATGTTGCAGAGAAAGTCTGCTCACTGCAAGCTCCCGAGAGAAGGAAGAATGGGCTGCATCAAGCAAGCTCAGTATGTCTTCCCACATTTACTTATCAAATACTCAATCCTTCTCCTCCAGGGATGGAGAATAAAGGGGAGGACAGAGAAAAGATGGACATATCATTTGAGCCCCTTCCCTGAAAGGAAACATCAGGAATAGGGGAAGAGCACTCCTGCCCAGCCCGTATCCAAAAGCAAAGGTAAAAATGGCAAGTGTAAAGACATGATTTTATAACTATTTCATAAGTTACCTTTTCTATGCCTAAATTTTGACTTCTTCCTATGATTATATCTTTTGCGAGTTATGCCTAGAAGTGAAAATTCTACATTGAAGGGGAATGTGCTAACTGACCTCAATATAAGTAGTGTTTACAGCACGCATATCTCATTCACCTATTTATTCACTCTCATTGGACAAATCTTGATCAAACACCAAGAACATTGCAGGCCCTGTGTGAGGCAATGGAGCGGAGAGAGGAGAGGAGAAGATAGACACTTATTTCTTCTCCCACAGCTAAAGCTTAGTGAGTGAGGCAAACATTTAAACATAACAAATGCTTCTGAGAATAGGTGACATTTGACTTGAACCCTGAGAACTGACCTAGGAAGGGAAAGTGAGTGGAGAGAGTAAAGGGTGCAGGCAAAGGAAACTCCAGGAACCAAGTTTCAGAGACAAGACTGCTTGAGTAGCTTCCATGGTGGCTGAAATGTTTTCTTTGTTTTTGTTCATCTGTGGTTCACTCTGAACAAATCTTTATATTTATTTAAATCATTAATTACAGACTGCATATTGGGTATAGTGTATACCAGTCAGGTGATGGGTACACTAAAATATCAGGAATCACCACAAAAGTACTCTGCAATGTAACAAAAAAACCACCTCTACCCCAAAACTATTGAAATTAAAAAAAAATCTTTAATTGAAAAATAATTTGATTTCTATATTTGCATTATTTCGAAACCATATTTAAACAAAATTCACTCTATGTGTTATTAGCTTTAATGTTTACTAAAGGTCATGTTATTCTAATCCTTCTCTCTTTTTAGTAATTGCTTTGTTTTGTCTGTAGTTTGCCTCAAGCAAAGTCTTTTTCTTTAGGAATTTTATATAAAATATGCAGGAACTCTTTAATGATTTTTTTTCTTAGAATTATGTCTTCATTAAAAAAATTATACCTCCTTCTCCTCTTCCTCCTCCTACTACTAAAAAAAATCACCAGAAACTTCCTCTTTGTCTTATTCTCTTTTATTTCTTTTGCCTGGTATAAAATGTCACCTTCCCATTTGCAGACTCAAGTCTTCCTTTAGCGCAAGAATTTTCTTCTGTTATGTTTTTATTGATTTATTCTATTTGTTGTCATCTTTTCTTCAGAAAGAGAAATAATCTGCCATTGGACTCTTAGTTTCATGTCCTCCAGATAGGCATCTTATACCTTATATAGCTCCTCACACTAGTCTTTGTTCTTTTTTTTTAGTGGCTTAAAAGAACATGCATTTGTTCTCTTACAGTTCTGGAAGTCAGAAGTCCTAAAATCAAGGTGTTGGCAGGGGTGCCTTCCATATGGAAGTGCTAGAGGAGAATCCTTATCTTTTTCAGCTTCTAGAGGCTGCCGGCATTCCATGATTCTTGATGCCTTCCTCCATCATCAAAGCCAAAAGTGGAGCAATTTTCACTGTTAAAGCCCTTGCCACACCCTCACTAAAATGCCCCTTTTCAAACTCTCAAGTTTCTGTTCTTTTCCCCTCCCTTTGAGAGGATTCTTCAACTGTTTCCTAAGTTGCTGAATTCATTTTTTTTTTTTGCTTTGTCAGACCTACTGTTTGGTGTTCTAATACTGATTTTAAGATTTGGTTATATTTTAGATTCCTTATAATCTTTTGTTAATCCATCCTGCTCTTAAATTTCTGTCTCCATCTTAGTCTACTATTAACTCAACTCTATTTTATGGACACTATAGTGCAGTGGTTAAGAGTATAAAGTGTGAATCTAGGCCACATGGGCTGCATTAAGGCCCTACCACTTGCAAGCTGTGTGGCTGGGCAAAATATGTGGAATCTGTGCCTCAGGTTCCTCATCTGTGAAATGGGAACAAGAAAATGCCTGTCTCATGGAGCTGCTGTGAGACTAAGAGTCAATTCATTTACAATAGTTAGTAGTCAGTAACTTAGTTTCTAATGAACCCATAGTCTATATTTTTCTGAATATTCAGAATAATTATTTAGAATTTCATCCAGATGTCGCATGTATCAATATATGTGTATATATGTATGTCATGTGTGTATTTTGTTACTTACCTTTTAAAGCATCAATTTTTACTCAGTCTTAATATTTAAAAATTCTTAATTCTTTCATAATCAATTTGCTTGCCCTTGAACATATCTTCTCAGTTATTAAATGGATGAACTGATTGGCCTGTGTTTCCTTTAGTCAGTTTTCTGGGAGTGGGGGTGCATATTTATTTAGTGTAGTCTACTAATCTAAAGACAGAGTGCTTGGTCCTGGTCCTTTTATAAGGTGAAGCTTAAGGTTGGCCCATCAGAAGCCATCTATACTTCTTCCTTTTCGAGGATAAGGCATGACAAGTGGCAATCCAGTTGGTATTGCTCCACAGCTTTTTCAGCTTCAGCTCCTACCACTTAGTCCTTCACACAGCAGTTCTACATATCATTCCCCAATATCTTTACAACAGCTACATTGCATTGCCAGAGGCTGTTTTCTTAAAGAGACAGGAATTAATGGGGCATGAAGTAAATTCTGTCATTCAGAAAGTAGCACTTGTGCTTCTTTCTCAGTGACCTGAGCAGTACTCAAGTGGCTTTTCACCTTCTTATTAAAACAAAATCTGTCTGTGAGCTTCAAGTTGTAGTGGGTGAAGATGGAAGTCCTCAACTCTCATGTTTTGCATTTTTTTGTCCTCCTGATAAAAGGTATCAGATGGTGGTTAAGGATTCACAATACAGTGTCACATAGACCTGGTTCAAATTCCAGCTGATGGGTGGGTATTCAAGGTTAAAACAGTTAATCTCTTTGAGCTAGAGTTTCTTCATCCATAAAAAATGGATGTAAAAAAATAAAAATGTCTCCTTCGTGTTTATGTAAGGTTTTAAACTAGAAAATGTTCAGTAAGTGGCAGCTATTAACAGCCTGGAAACATCCCTTTCCTTTCATCAGCTCACAGCCAACTTTGTTTTTTCCACATGTGTGGGGCTCAAGACCTAGTCCTGAGTTCTTGAAGAAAGTTGTGATTGTTGAGAGGTGCCCACAGGGTAGTCAGTGGTAGGATAGCAGAGAGGTTGGTGGGGTGTTCAGGGCTGATGCAGTCAGCTGAATTTCAGACTGAGACACACAAGTCCTCTGATAACCAAAATTCTCTAACTTCTTGAAATGATTCAGGACTCTGCAAGACAAACTATCCCAGGAATGCAGGGCTTGATGGCTTTCTCTTCTGGCCCCTGTTCTGGCATGGACACAGTGCCTGCTGTTGACAATCTACATTTCCATTATTCCTAATCACTAGCACTTTCTGGACAGCTGACATCTCCCTGAATGGAGGGACCCAAGGTTTCAGGCCTCCATCTCCTTATGACTCCAGACCTGGAGACATGCTCTTCATCTTCATTTTGAATGTCTTCACTGATCTTTGAGGTTCTCAGACAGAAAGGGGCTTATTCCTTCAACACTCCACTTCCTCACGTTTTAAAAGCTAGAACTTGATTATCTCTAGTGGTATTCACACTTATAACATTTTAAAAATCAATCTAATTGGCTACACTGAGGACCTTATATAGCATCTTACTTGTCTTGTCTTTTTTTTTTTTTTTTTAAAGGAACACCTCATATCACCTTCACCCAATACTTTTCGTACATCATAGACAGAGAGTATCCCCAAAATATCTCTATTATTCCTCTCCCTAAAATAGAGACATACCTGGGAATTCCTTTTAGAGAAGACAGTTGATTACATTTCTATAATAACTATTACCCTTTGTCCTGCCAGTTTGTCGAAGGGCTTCATCTAAATTTCAGTTTAGAAAGTCCCTGTGGATCCTGGCAGATCATCCTCTGGTATTTTAAGTGTTGTTGAAACTTTAAATTTCTTTATATTTTCATGAGGGTGAATCGAGAATCACTGGCCTTTCAATAATCTTACTCAGTTTCCCCTGTTCACATTTATGGAATGGGTAATATTTTTTATTTGAATGGAAAAAATTTCAGTTTACGTAAATGTTTACAAAAATCTTGAAGACTAACAATAATTCTTTGTAATCTTACCTTCTTTTTCAGCTGAATTTTGTTCTGTTTCTGAATACGGTTAGAGTTCTAGCTACCAAAATCTGGGAGACCAATGCAGTTGGGCATGACACAAGAAAGCAATACAGGTAATTTCAGGACAGGCATCCATCAGAGGAAATATTTTGGTTACTATTTCTTTTCTTTTCTTTTCTTTTCTTTTTTTTTTTTTTTTTTTTTTTTTTTTTTTTTTTTTTTTTTTTTTTTTTTTTTTTTTTTTGAGACAGAGTCTCACTCTGCTGCCCAGGCTACAGTGTAATGGCATGATCTTGGCTCACTGCAACCTCTGCCTCTTGGGTTCAAGCAATTCTCATGCCTCAGCCTCCCAAGTAGCTGGGATTACAGGCATGCACCATCACTCCCTGCTAATTTTTGCATTTTTAGTAGAGATGGGGTTTTGCCATGTTGTCCATGCTGGTCTCAAACTCCTTACCTCAGGTGATTCACCCGCCTTGGCCTCCCAAAGTGCTGGGGTTACAGGTATGAACCACTGCTCCCAGCCTTTGGTTACTATTTCGAGTAAAGAACAGATACAAATTGGTTTGAAATATCTTTAAGAGATTAAATTTATGAATGTATATTTATTGTGTGATTTATCAGAAAAGGATATCTATAGTAAGAAAATGTAAGTAACCCCAAATGCTACCCCTTGTCCTTAAATTCTAAGTATATTTTTAAATCTGTTTTTAGCAGATTGGGATGTTCCTGTCAACAATAGATGAACTCCCAGAAGACATTTTGATGACCTTGGCAGACAACTTTATTTGCATTATACAAATATGTCATAACTGAAAAGATCAAGTGGATTTGCTGTATTGTTTTAAATCTTTACATCAAATTGTCTGTCACCAAATATGCAAATGTATTGATTGAGGGCGGTCCATTCTTCATCCTTTCGTGAAGAAAAGGACAAATTGAGTGTTTGCAGTTTTATCAAACTATCTTAAGATTGTGTGCGTTTCTCATAATGATCATTTTGGAAATTTTGAATATTAGTGGCATCTATCCAACTGGACACATACATCCAGTAATCAGGTAGATGTGGATTTGGCTTTATAATCCCCAGTTAACTATTTATTTTTGCCTCAGATTGTTATGAAATGCTATCTCAGACATAGAGAGGAAAAATATCATAGTTAGCCTTTTGATCTTCTCTCACAAATGTTCTGTAAGTTCTCGTTGATTTAGTCCTCTCCACCATTTAGGTAATATTTACTGTTGAGCTACTAAGACTACAGGTCTGACCTGTAGGATGCACAGTATCCTATGACCATAGAATGCACAGTATTAACAAACCAGCAGATGCTAGAGCCAGTTATTTTTAATGTGCTGTCAGTGGCAGTATTACACATTGTGCGTGAGTTTATGGTGAAGTTTATGAAGTTTATTAACCATATTATGGCTATTGTGTTGTCAGTGGTAGTATTATGCATTGTGCATGAGTTATAGTATATTACAATATAGCTTATCTTTCACATCACATCCCATCTTTGAAGACAAAGAGCAAAGAGTAGAATAATCCAAAAAGTAAATAACTTTTCAGTCTTCTTCATAAAGTGGAAGAGTATAGTAATGTTTGGAAGCTACTTATTTCTCTAGTTCTGAACAAAGCTGCTTATTTCTATAGTTCTGCATAACATGAACTAATAATTTTAGTAAAATGTTGACCAAGGGACATGAGAAAATTTGGAGAGAACAAAGGGTGCTCCATCTTTAAAAATTGATAGAATAGACAATATTTTGAATTAATTCATGGGGGATTAATTTATCAAGGACTGAAATAATCAACTACTTGGAATTCAGAATAACTTTGAAATAATCTGGTGTCTAGAAAATTTCAAGTGTGAAGTTGTTAATTAGATCAGTTTAGACTAATAGAAGTCAGAAAAAGTATTTTTCAGCCAAATGCATTTTTTTATGGCGGCCACAGATAAAAATGTAGTGAAGAGTGGCTCTTTTTTGAGAGAAAAATGTGGGAACCTACTTGACATCAATTTGAGAATTCAATTCCATATTCTGTTTCTGAGGCCTTAGATTATCAAGTTTAAATAGCATGTCACTTTTTAAGTAGGCTTAGGAAAATTAAATCTGTGTCACCATCTCAGTGACATTCCTATGATGAGGGTTAATTGAGTATTTAAATTTACATCAGCTAATTTTTGTGCCTTTAAACTTATCTTCTATTTTGTTATTACCTTTGTCTAACAAATGTTCAGATATTCTTTATAAAATAAGACAATACAAAATTTCCGAATGGTGGTATCTAAAGCAGTTTCAAAGCGTATTTCCATGCATACTATCGTGAAAAACTGAAAACACCTTTCAGAGCTGAGATAATCTCTCCAGGTGAATGTGTCCTCACACACAAATAAGAAAGACTTCTGAAAAGATAAGACTTCTAAAAAAAGGAAGACTTCTGAAAACCCTTTAGTTGGCATGGTGGTTTAAAATGGAAGAAATGAATTAATAAATCAGTTCTTAAAATAACTTTTTATTTTGAAATAATTGTAGATTCACATATAGTTGCAAAAATAATACAAAGAGATTCCATATATCCTTAAGCCAGTTTCCCTCAATGGTGGCATAGTGTATAACTACAGTTTACAATCATTTACCTTTAAATAAAATTGTGTGAATAAAATTAATTCATTAGATTTAATAACACAAATAATACATTTTTTCCTTTTAAATTACAACTCAATTTTTTCATAAAGTAAGAATCAGTTGCCAGACCTGGAAAAAATATAAGAGATAAAAAATATGAGATTAAAAAGAAAAACGTAAGAGATATGAAAATGTAAGAGATAAGAGAAATGCAAGATTTAGTGCAAAAGAATATTTGAATGTTTTGACTAAGTTGACTTCCCATTTAATGTTAGACAAAACTCATATTTAATGTTTATTATTTTTAGAATAAATCCAACCAGTATTTATTATGCAGCATGATAGTAAAGAGGAGGGGAGAGATTTTAAGGCCGCATCCACCCCTTACTGTGTCACATTGGGTGGATGCTTTCTTTCTCTGAGTCTCTATTCTCCCTTGGCAATGGGATAATAATAGCTCTTTCCCATGGTTGTTAGAATAAAAGGAGGCAAGCAGCATGGGATGTAACAGGAGCATGGTGTTTAATGGCCAGTAGCTTCATTTGCTGAGTGTCCTTGAACCCACAATTTAGGTGGGGATGGATAGAGACAGAGACAGTGGGAGAGATAGGTATTATGATTGATTTAATTAAATAAAATGAGGAAAGTACCAACAGAGATGCCCATATGAAGTTCTATGTCTACAGAAAAGAGGGAAGGATTAATTCAAGGCCACAAGGGATCAACCAAGAAAGGCTTACAAAGAACTAAAACAGATCTACAAGGAAAAAAACAAGCCCATTCAAAAGTGGGCAAAGGATATGAACAGACACTTTACAAAAGAGGACATACATGATGCCAACAAACATATGAAAATATGCTCATCATCACTGGTCATAAGAGAAATGCAAATCAAAACTACATTGAGATACCATCTCACGCCGGTAAGAATGGCGAACATTAAAAAATCTGGAGACAGCAGATGCTGGAGA